TTCTACCTCCTGGGCTCAAGCAATCCTCCCACCTAAGCCTCCCAAGTAGCTGGAACTATAGGTATGCACCACCACACCCAGCTTATCTTTGTATTTTTTGTAGAGATGGAGTTTTGCCATGTTGCCCAGGCTGGTCTTGAATCCCTGAGCTCAAGCCATCTGCCCATCTCAGCCTCCCAAAGTGCTAGGATTACAGGTGTGAGCCACCATGCCCAGCTGTTATCACCTTATTTAATCTTCAAGAACCTTATATGGTAGTTGCCCCTGTTTTACAGAAGTGGGAACTGCAGCACAGGGAGGTTAAGTAGCAAACTACATAGGCTTAGTAAGTGGCAGAATTTGAGCCATCTCCTAATAGAAAAATTATTGCACATGTATTGAGCAACTACTATGGTCTAAGAGTTTTATACACATTGATCTCTAAGGTGTTTCACAATGATGAGTCTATGATTTCTTAGTATCTGCTACCCATGTTCTTGCCCAGGACCCTCCTCTGCCTGAGTAAGTCAGAGGCTTGGGGCCCTCAGCGTAACCAGCTTCTTTTACCATTTTGAAGTCTAAAGAAGCTCAGTTTTCACTGCTCATTGACTCAATTATCTGCTCATACCTTAGGAAAAAAACAAGGCATTGGCCTCATCTCTCCAACTCAATCCAAGTATGTTGTTCCTTAGGAGTCAGGCATCTCTCATTAAGAATGGAGAAGTCTTCATCCTTTCAGTTAGCCTCTTTAATTTAGGGGAAATGTAAGTTAACAATAACAAAAAAAGATTTTCAAATCTGATTTACTCCGTAATAGTATAATTAACCTTCAGTGGGCTATCCATTTTTAGCTGAGTGGCTTTTTTTGTTTTTGTGTGGCTTTGCCTGGGAAGGCTGCATGCCTGTCTGCCTGTCTATCTGACACTAAGAACATACCAGCCTTCCATCATTGGGAAGTTGCTGCGAACAGCCTCAGAGGAGCAGCCCCATAGCTGCTGGCCACTGGTCTCTGCAGCCTCAGCACCCCTAACCCCCTGGGGATGGGAGATTAAACACTGGTCTTAGGTCTGAGGTGCAGGTGCTATATGACTTTATATAATCCATATTCTTCCCTGAAATAATATGCACTTTAATATTTAACTTTATACATCTTCTACTGTTCTGTATACTTCAAGATGAATACATGTTTCTGTCTTTATTTACAGCCTCTTTCATATTTTTAGGAAGCCCTTGAGCCAAACAAGCATGACTTGTGGGTAGCAGTCATAAAGCAACTTAATATTTGTCTTCTAGTTGCTCTTTAAATTTCCTCTGTGTGGCCAATTATTTCCCTGCCCGTGGGTAAACTCAGTTAGGTGCTGAGACTTTTATGGACCTTTGTAGGTGTTAAAACACAGCCTCAATACAATTGCTCAAATGTTCTGTCTAAGGTGATAATCAAAACTGTTAAAAGTTGCAGCTTCTCTCCTATTTTAGGCCTGCTGCAGACAAGAGACCTACAGTTGGAGAATGGAAGCACAGCCACCTTCTTCTCTCCTTTCTGTTGCCTTTTTGTGGGTTCATTGACATCTCTACACCTGTACCCTCAGCTGGAGAACTGTTTCCTGGCCTCTCTGGCATTGGGGCATAGGTAGAGGAGAGGAAAGGACAATAAGAAAGTTTTTACTTGTTGGATACTGCTGTGATTAAGCTGAGACATCCTCTGGTGGAGCACTTTCAAGAGTCTTTCAAGATAACTTACCCTCATTGCTGGAAATCTGTATCCTGCAGTTCTCTTACTGGGGCATCTTTCTTTTGGCTGGTTCTTTGCTTTTTCTTGACCCCTGGGTAACTAGCAATACCCTCAGTATGTTAGTCAGTTTGTGCTGGTGTAACTTTTGTACTCAAAACTGGGTGATTTATAAAGAACATAAATTTATTTTTCATGGTCCTGGAGGCTGGGAAGTCCAAGATCAAGGCAACAACAGTTTTTTTGTTTGGTGAGTGGGCAGTCTCTGCTTCCAAGATGGCACCTTGAATGCTGCATCCTCTAGAGGGGAGGAACACTGTGTCTTCACATGGCAGAGGGCAGAAGAGTAAGAGGTGTGAACTCCCTCCGTCAAGCCCTTTTATAAGGTCATGAATCCCATTCATGCAAGAGGAGCCCTCATGACCTAATCACCTCTTTAAGGCCTCACCTGTTAATAGTTATTACATTGGCCATTGGATTTCAACACATGAATTTGGAAGAGACACTTTCAAACCATAGCAGTCAGTTTCCCTTTTCTGAGACCTCTTTATCTAACAAGATGGAAAGGGTCTAAAATGACCCTGTACACTCTCTTGAGTGAACTTCATCTCCTTCATAGAAAGCACTCACACATCTTTTATCTATAAATCCTAGGGGAAGAAGGAGGGTTGTTCCTAACCAAACAGTTCTTCCTTTGCTCTGCAGTCTGCTGACTAGTGAGCATATCTCTTGCCCTTTAGAATTTCCAGGTGGGATTCAGACACAAGCCCACTGTGCCCTCTGAACTGCAGGTGCCACATATTAAACATCCAGTGGCTTCCTCAAAGCCCTTTTCTTTTGACTGGAGATTTGAAGGTGGGACTCACAGCTCAGCTCTTTTTGAAGAAATCATTCATGAAGATCTTCTTTAGAAATCCTCTTCAATCCCCCACTCCTGACCAACCCCCACCCCCGCTTGGTTGTTTTTGTTTTTGTTTTTTTGAGATGGTGTTTTGCTCTTGTCACCCAGGCTGGAGTGTAATGGCGCGATCTTGGCTCACTGCAACTTCTGCCTCCTGGGTTCAAGCTATTCTCCTGCCTCATCCTCCCAAGTGAGCTGGGATTACAGGCACCCCCTACCATGACCAGCTAATTTTTTGTATTTTTAGTAAAATGGGATTTCATCATGTTGGCCAGGCTGGTCTTGAACTCCTGACCCCAGGTGATCCACCCATCTCAGCCTCCCAAAGTGTTGGGATTACAGGCGTGAGTCACTGCACTTGGCCTTCTCCTGACCCTTTTATACACTCAGTGTGCCGAAGATTTAAGAGTTGCCTAACTTGTTTTATTTTTAAATTCTTTATTTGAAATTCGCTATTTATCATGCCTCTACTAAAATGTCTCCTTTAACATCTGTAACAAGAGTTCACTTGTTTATTCAAATAGCATTAAGCTCCCACTAGACCAGCACAGTCTACTAACAATATAATATGAGGTGCTTATGTGATTTAACACTTTCTAGCAGGCAGATTTTAAAAAAGAAAAAGACAGGTGAAGTGAGTTTTAATAATATATCTTATTTAACATATCTGAAGCATTATCATTTCCATATGAAGTCAATTTAAAAATACTAATGAGATATTCTACATTCTTGTTTTGCACTAGGTCTTTGAAATTTGGAGTCTACACTTACTCCACATTCCATTTAGGGCCAGCCACATATTCAGTGATCAATGGCCACGAAGGACTAGAGGCAACTGTAGTGGACAGTACAGCAGTAGACTGTAAGTTCTGTAGGCAAAGTTGGTGTCTGTCTTGTTCATTGTTATAAACAACAGTGTTTGGCATAGAGTAGGCATTCAGTATTTGTGAAACTGAACTGAAAAATAATTGAAAGAATGAAGAAATTACCAAGGGAATCCTTCAATGTCTCCCCATAGCACTTACAGTCTAAATTATTCAATTCTGCTCGCAATTAGTTGGCCCACATAGTTTGTAATTAAATTATTCCACAAGCATTTAAGCTTCACAAAGGCGGAAACATCTTCATCTTGTTATCTATTGTATCTCCCAGTCAACCACAGTTCCTAGTATTGTGATGTGTAGATTCATGCAATCAACAAATATTTATTTAGTGTCCATGCCGGGCCAGTCACTATTTTAGGTGCTGGGGATACCGTAAGAGAGACACAGTCTCTGTTTTCATGGAGCTCACAGACAAAAAGTTACAAGAGCTTTGATGGAAATAAATAAGGTGACATGAGAGGGTGTGATGGAGGATGGAGGAGCAAGGAAGTACGGAGGAGAAGGAGACAGTATTGTGAAGAGCCAGGGAAGGGCAATCTGAGTGTGTCTCTTTGAGGCAGTCACATTGACTTCATTTTCTCGAATGCTCCAAACTCATTTCTGCCTGCAACTTTGTTTCTTTTTCTTGTGCTGCCCACCCTCTTCCTTGCTCTTCTATAGCTGGTATCTTCCCACGTCTCAGCTCAAATGCAATCGTCTCCTTAAAGACACTCTCCCTAACCACCTGTCTACTGGGCTCATCACCCTTGGCACTTCCTATCACATCCTGACATTTTGTTTAGTACCACAATCTGAAATGATCTTGTTTATGCGTCTGTTGTCTCCCACATCAGAAGTAAAGCTCTAAGAAATTGCCTTGACAATTGCTATCTTTCAATGCTTAGAAAAGTGTCCCTATGACAAATATATGACCCAAAATTAGTGATCAATAGATACTTTATTAAATGAATGAATGACTGAAGGTCAAGAGTTAAAGTCTTTGGGTGATGTCTCAAGTCATGATTTGAATAAATGTAAATGAAGTCTAGGAAGAACCACACTCTATTTGTCTGGCTTCTCTGAGAAGGAAGATGGGGTTAATGGATGTAGGATTTATACTCTTGCGCCGTCTTGGGCATCGGGCAACCTGAGTTTTGGTTCCAGCTCCTTTGAGAATCTACAGCTATGGACCATCTGACCGGGTAAATGGCCACAAACTTTTGCTTATAACTTAAGGGGGTTCGTCGACCTCCTGAAGAGGTCAAAGGACCACAGGTTAAAATTTCCTGTAGAGATAAGAGATTCCCACAGCAACACTGGGAGGCAGAAGGCAGGTGTTCAATGAGATAATGCACGAAGCGTCTTTAAAGAACTAGGCCCGGCGAAGTGTGGCTTTGGGGAGAGGTGGTGTCGGAAGAATCCTTGGAAACCAAATTCTTTTGCAACTAGCATCTGGGGCGGCGGGTGCTATGGACGCTTTCCTCCTCCAATCATCGCGCGGCTTGCTAGGCTGTGCGGCTCCGTGGTTACCGTGGCAACGGACGGCAACAGCTCCGGCGGCGCCGCGGGAGCGCGGGCGGCTTCAAGCTGGGTATGGAGCTCCTCAGCGGCGGCGGGGTCTGTGAGTTGGACACGGGGTCTTGGTGGGGAATGGCGGTAGAATAAACGTGGGACCCGGAGTGCACCAAGGTCAGAGGTCCTCGCAGAGATTGTGGTGTCAAAGTGTGGGGGTCATGGGGACTGACCGGGGCGTCCCCTCTTCTCGTCCTCGCCCTGCGTCCCAGGAGTTCTCCAGACTTTGCAGACCCCTCCCCTCCTCAGCCTTCCCTAGCCACTTCTCACTCCCATGAAAGTTACGGGACCTCGGATTTTTGTTCTTGGGATTCCCCTGCCAGACAGGTAGCCTGAAGGGCAGAAAGCCTGAGGTGCTGCCTTGCTTCCAACTTCGAATTAGCCCCAGGCCTTGGACGAATCATTTCCCGTCTTACCTGGGAATATGGTAAAGTTCACCTCTTTTAGGTGTACAGTTCCAAGAGTTTTGAAAATATAAAATTCTGTACTGTATTAGTCTGTTATCATTCTGCTAATAAAGACATATCTGACGCTGGGTAATTACAAAGGAAAGAGGTTTAATTGACTCACAGTTCCACATGGCTGGGGAGGCCTCACAATCATGGTGGAAGGTAGAGGAGGAGCAAAGTGATGTCTTACATGGCGGCAGGCAAGAGAGCCTGTGCGGGGCAACCTCACCTTTATAAAACCATCAAATCTCGTGAGATTAGTCACTATCATGGGAACAACCCAGGAAAACCCACCCCCATGATTAAGTTACCCACCATGGGGTCCCTCCCATGACACATGGGGATTATGGGAGTTACAATTCAAAATGATATTTGGGTGGGGACACAGCCAAACCATATCATGTACTTTCCACAGTAAGTATGTAGAACGATTCCATTAGCTCAGAAAGTTTCTCTTGTACCTCATTGTAGTCAATGCCCCTTCCCCACTTCCAGCCCATAGCAACTAATGAAATGATCTGTTTTCTGATTCTACATTATCCAGAATGTCACATAAATGGAATTATGACATACATAGCACTTTTTGTCTAGCTTGTTATACTTAGCATATTGCTTTTGAGATTTAACCATGTTGTTGTATGTAACAGTAGCTCATTTCTTTTCATTGTTGTGTACTATTCTATTGAATGGATGTACCATCAGCTGATAGACATTAGGATTGCTTCCAGTATTTGGTAATTATGAACAAGTAGAACCATTATAAATATTCCCATACAGGCATTTGTATGGACATATGTTATTATTTTGATAAATAACTGGGAGTAGGATTGATAGGTTATATGGTAAGTATTAATTTTACAAGAAACTGCCATAGTGCACCCTTGTTAGCAGGTGATCATTTTGTTAGGTTTAGTTATTCTTACAGCTGTGTAGTGGTCTCATTCTGCTTTTAATTTGCATTTCCCAGTGATTCATGATGTTGAATAATGAGCTTATTTGTTATTGTATCTTTGGTGAAGAAGTTTGGTGAACCTGGTGAAGTTTCTGCTTGTATCTTTTGCCCATATCATTCATATATATATATGTCATAATTCCATTTATGTGACATTTTGGATAATGCAGAATATATGTGTGTGTGTGTGTATATATATATGTATGTATATATGACAACAGTCAGATATTTAATTTGCAAATAATTTCTCCCAGTATGTGACACATCTTTCCTTTTTAAAACATTTTGTTACTGAAATGCCAGGGGTTTGATCTAGATCTCATTGTTTACAGCACAGAAAGCCAATCACTGGAACAAAGAGTACTACCAGGGAAGAAGGCTTTATTTGGGTGCTGCAGCTGTGGAGATGGGAGAGAGTCTCAAATTGTCTCTAACTGACTAAAACTGGAGATTCAAATACCAGGGAAAGAATGTAGAAAGCAGGAATTAGGGAGGGGTAAGGAAGAGGAATTTGGTCTCTCACTGTCCGGATGCGGTGATCTGGTGAGTTTCAGTTCCTTTATACTATCCGAGAGGACCAAGGGTCAGTTTTCTAAGAAAGGAACTCAGATAAGGTAAATTTCAGTTTCAAGCTTAAGATCAAGAGGGCCAATTTCTGTTTATTTACAAAGACCATAAACATCAGTTCTATGAGGAAATTGGACTGGTTTCAATTTTCTTCATAATGCCTTTGAAGTCAAAAGTTTTAATGAAGTCTAATCTTATTAATTTTTTCTTTTATGTTTTTGTGTGATATCTAAAAACCTTTGGCCTAACACAAGGTAACAAGATTTTCCTCTATGTTTTTTTCTCAGAGTTTCATAGCTTTGGGTTTTACATGTAGGTCTTTGATGGATTTTGAGTTAATTTTTATGTATGACGTTGGCAAGAGTTGAGGTGTATTTTTTTCATAAGGGTGAATGTTCCAACCCCATTTGTTAAAGAGATTCTCCTCTCTCCACTTACCTGGGCACCTTTGTCAAAAATCAATTCACCACATACATGTGAATACATGTTTCTGATTTATCAATGTAACAGAATATTCCAGAAAAATATGAATAATATTTTCCTCAAATGAACTGCCAGTCATTTTAACAGCATAGAATCGATAACTTTACAGTGTATTTTGAAATCTGGTAGTTCGAGTCCTTCTACTTTGTTCTTATTTTTCACAATTGAATTGGCAACACTGGTTCCTTTACCTTTCCATACAAACTTTAGAATTAAAGGTTGATATCTCCAAAAATAACTGCTGGCATTTTGATTAGATTTCACTGGTATACCTCCTTTGATTTAGGTCCTCTTTAATTTCTCTCAATGATGTTTTATAATTTTTAACATGCAACTTTTGCTCATGTTTTGTTAGTTCTGTATTTATTTTATGTTTTTTTGATGCTATTGCTTATGATACTGTTTTAAAACTTTCAGTTTCCAATTCTTCATTCCTTGTTTCATACCCAATCAAATGTTAAACCTCATTCAAATATCTTGAGGGGGAAAACTGTGTTGTGTTTGTTGCAAGCCCCTCCTCCCTCTTTCTGAACCTCAAGTTCTAAGCACCAAGAGACTATAGCAGATTTCACTCTGTATTTCATCCCACAATACCTGTGGCCAGAATCACCCCAAAATGATGGCAGGAGATTTCCCACAAGGAAGTGCCCCAAACTGTCCAGAGATGGGGCCGGTTGGGATTCCAAAGAAAGAAGGAAAGACTAAATGCCAGAGTGGTCAATCCAAAGCATTTATTAGGGAAACTTACAGGGTGCTGCAGCAGTCCTCAAAATGGACAGCAAGAGAAAACAGGTGTTCTACCTAGCTATGACTACAGTGAGGGGGTTCAGGGTATGAGTAAGGATTTTGGCTCAGGGCCAGGGCTAGTTTGTTTTTCAGTGTTGTGGGCAGCAACCTAGATACCTTTATCAGTGGCTAGGAATGTTCAAGGCCCAGGTTTGGGTGCAAGTCTGCTATGAAAAACCTGCAATTGGCTAGATCATAGAGCAGTCAGGACACAGAAAGAAAGTAGTGGGGAATGGAGAACCCTACACTCGTTCTCATTCAACTTCAGAACTCTCATGCTGTTCCAGTTCTCAGAAAATCACCCATAGGGGAATCTGGCCCTCGCTTTTTAGGTTCCTGTTCGTCTTGGCAGATTTTACAACCATCAACTATTCTGTTGGTACCTCTTCTTACCTTAAGAATCCCCTACCTGAGCCAAGCTGGATTGTCTGCCTGTGCCTAGAAATTAGCAAATGTCCTCAGAGAAAAACACAACCAGTAACCTCAACTCATTGATGAGAGGCCATTTCCCTTCTGAAATTTTAGTTCTTCTAGTCCATTGTTAAAAGAAAAAACTTAGCCAAATTAACAGAGTTTAATTTAATTAAAAAATGATTAATGAATCATTTCACAGCAAAGAACAATTTGCAAATTGAGCAGCCTCTTTTTAAATAATTTTATATTTCAATCATTTTTGAAGTACAGGTGATTTTTTGTTGCATGGATGAGTTCTTTAGTGGTGAATTCTGAGATTTTAGTGCACCTGTCACCTGAACAGTGTACACTATATCCAATATGTAGTCTCTTATCTCTTACTCTACTGCTGACTTCCCCAACTGAGTTCCCAAATTTCATCACTCTGTATGTCTTTGCATCTCATAGCTTAGCTCCCACTTATAAGGGAGAACATATGGTATTTGGTTTTTCATTCCTGGGTTACTTCAGTTAGAATGATGGCCTCCAGCTGCATCCAAGTTGCTGCAAAAGACATTATTTTGTCCCTCCTTATGGTTGAGTAGTATTCCATGGTATACACATTTTACATTTTCTTTATCCACTTGTTGGTCAGTGGGCACTTGTGTTGGTTCCATATCTTTGCAATTGCGAATTGTGTTGCTATAAACATGCATGTGAATGTGTCTTTTTCATATAATGACTTCTTTTCCTTTGGGTAGATACCCAGTGGTGGGATTGCTGGATGAAATGGTAGATCTACTTTTAGTTCTTTAAGGAATCTTCCCACTGTTTTTCATAGTGGTTGCACTAATTTACATTCCCACCAATAGTGTAGAAGTATTCCCTTTTCACTACATCCCCACCAACATCTATTGTTTTCTGACTTTTTAATTATGGCCATTCTTGCAAGAGTAAGGTGGTGTCTCATTGTGGTTTTAATTTGCATTTCCCTGACAAACTAGTGATGAGCATTTTTTCATGTTTGTTGGCTGTTTGTATATTTTCTTTTGAGAAATGTCTCTTCAAGTTTTTAGCCCACTTTTTGAAGGGATTATTTGTTTTTTTTTCTTGCTGATTTGTTTGAGTTCCTTGTAGATTCTGGATGCTAGTCCTTTGTTGGATGCATAGCTTGCAAATACTTTCTCCCACCCTGTTTACTCTGCTTATTATTTCTTTTGCTTTGCAGAAGTTTTTTAGTTTAATTAGGACCAATTTATTTGTTTTTGGTTTTGTCACATTTGTTTTTAGGGTCCTAGTCCTGAATTTCTGCCTAAGCCAATGCCAGAATAGTTTTTCCAATGTAATCTTCTAGGATTTTTATGGTTTCATGTCTTAGATTTAAGTCTTTGATCCATTGGGAGTTAATGTTTTTTATAA